GACGAGGGTATTGAGTGTTTGAAATCTTGATAGTGAGAAACCTATGAGTACATATGGTGGCCATTCTAAAAAGGTCCATAGCCCCAATATTATCCTAACCTAGGCCACAGATAATACGATAAGGCTATCATAGTGTTGAACGACCCTGTCGAGAGGCAGTGACAGATCTCATTTGTCAAGACCAAACAACCTGGTGCAACACATGGGTGTTTGCTGTAGGCAAGTTCATCGGACCGACCCACCGAAGGATTCCACATAGAAGGTTACCCTGGTATCTATGGAACAAATCTTCCAACGAATGGTGGTGCATGTGATCTTTAGACTTGAGGTCACTAGAGCACCTTGTGCACTGATTGGTGTAGTTTGACACTATTCCAACGTAGTCTTTTCAGGACTATCAGAACGGTGGTGGTTAGCTGCATTGAAAAGTGTATCAAGACTATGATGGATCGACAAAGGATTCATCACTCTCGGGTACGGGAGAAATTATCTCATTGAGTAATCCGGTAGATGGCAACGACATTAAATCTATGGTCGTAGTGAGATTGAGTTGTAGCTCAATCCAATCTATTCTGGCCGTTGGTCCAATACCCGAATATTGAGATATCAAGGACATCCAAGGTTGACACTAATTCTATGCCTCAGCCTTGATGAGATAATAGATGATGAAAGGATTGGATTGAATGATAACCATAATGTTGATAGGTAGCAGTTTCGCTGAATTCGAATCTATTGGGTGGCCATGATGCTTGGCCATCTTGGTTTGTATCTAGTGGGATGATTGATTGATTGTCAATCGTTAAATGATTCACTGCCGATATGATGAGGAGCCTTCAGGTCACACACATAGAAGACAAGTTAAGAATAAAATTCATGAGAAGGGTATTTTCGTTATTTATGATGAAAGGGCATTTTGATAGTCTCACAGTGTAATTAAATTTACCGAGGTTGTTGCCTAAATTTAATTTCATATGGAAATTAAATTAGTGAGGTTATATATATTTAAATATTTAGTTTAAATATATAAGATATTATCCAATATTAATATTGATAATGTGAATTCAAAATTTGTTTTTAAATTTGAATTGAAATGCCATGTTTGGTTGCAAGGGTGATCTATTCCAATATCCTGTTGGAATAGATGGCTACAACTATGGGTTCTGTATTGTAAGTCAACCCTACTACACTAGTACTAATAGCTGGCGTAGGGGAAGGGGCGCTACACCTAGGAATCAACAACACGAAAACTTTGTTATAAATTACCCCTTATCAGGATTGGGACTAAGAAGAATGGTTGGGATAACAAAGATCCATCTCGTTGGTACTTTGGATACACTTATAACCATCGAAGATTGTTTAAGTGATTAATTCCTAGAAATTAAGGGGCGTTGACAACAAAGAAATTGTTGGAGTTTCCATTTTATTTAGTACCAATACCAACACGCGCGATGTTAAGAAAAAATATCTTTTGTAGGAAGGTTGGCTAGAAATTAAAATGAAATAATTCATTCAATTAAAAGAAAAAACTAGCCACCCCTTTCTTTCCCTCCCAAAATGTGTAGCCTTTTGTGAGAGAATTCTGCAGATTTTTGTTTCTTAAAGTTCGTGATTTTACTAGCCAATAAAATCAACCAATGGCATTCATCCCGTCTTCGTGTGGATACCGTTTGTACACTCCTACCTTAGAGTGGAAGCAAATCTAAATCCCTTGAAGGAGCCGCCAAATGCTGGTATGGTTTCTATTACATCTTGATAATTATCTTCATGTGTAAAATATAAGGATCATGGGTTAGGTTTTGGATCTAAATATTTTAAATTCTGCTGCGTGAATAGATCCATAAAGCTACAACCTACAATGCCAAATATATGTTTGATTAGAGCCACCATTCTTGGCTTTCTTATTTTCAAGATTGAATGTAAACCCAGGGTTATTATTCCGATGCCCTAAGGTATGAAATTTACCTTTTCAAGTAATTTTCTTTTTCTTTAATGGAAGGGTAAAATGGTCAATTTACATGTATTTTGAGATGTGGCCATTATAAAGTGTAAGGGGTGATGTCATTGAAGAGAAATGAGGGTAGAATGGTCATAAAGTTGATTGATATGGTTAAATGGCGTAAACGGTAACCAAGGGTATAATGGTCTTTTNCCCTCTATTAAGGTAAGGATACTCACTAACATATATAGCAGACTGGCTATCAATGCTTGCTATAGGCCATAGAGGGGTACATCATCCTTTCTAAACGTGGAACCAGCTCGATCGACAAAAAAGAAGAGTAGCTCCACATTCTGGGGCGAGGCCCACCTCATTAGGATTCTATTCTCATCAATATCCTTGTGAGGTGGGGGAAAGGAGATAGGGCATGTGGGCTCCTTTCGCATTTTTCGGAGGTTTACAAGTAGTGAATGAGATTGCATTGGATCAGACAGCTTTTAGTTCTTACCCTATTTTAACTGCTTGGTTATAGGACTGTAGCGAGCTGGGCTTTTTTCAGAAGAAAGACAAACCCATTTTCCTATATTGAATGAATTGCACCAACCTTCTCTCGATTCAAAAGCAACTACATGAATAATGCCTTCCGCCTTTGCCTGTCCAGAATGAATTACACATTCCGAAGAGCACCAACCCTTGATCGACTAAACTGCATCCACTGCATCAACAAAGTCTTCCTTCGAACAGCTCTCTATTACTATACTTATTTTGGACCAAGGAAGGGAATGACTGCTGCTCCCCTTTCAAATAGTCATGTTCACAGCTTTTTCTGGGTTTAATGGTTCTAAAACAATCTTCCAACAAGAGCTGGGTTAACTAAGACCATAATACGAAAAGACTTCAATCGATTCGCTCCTTGCTTATGAAATGGATTGCGGCATTCTCCTTGATTATGAAATTCTTAGCTTGATAAAGCTCTCAAGCGAGCTAAACTACGGCTCAAAAGAAGGAATTGACTGGAATGAACTAATTCAGCTTTCCTTAACTAAAGCTAGTACCTAACCCCACCAGAAGATCTCATTGCGGTAGCGTTGGTTGACACCTTGGAATGGCTTGGATTTGAGCCTTTCGCTGAGAGAAAAAGTAGGTGTATACTTTTTTCTTTTGTTTTCCTCCATTCTAGAAGAGGTCGAAACCACAACTAAAGAAGGCTTTTCCAAGTAGGATAAGGGCTGCTTCTATTGATACAGAAGGGAGACTTGGGATCACAGATCGGCTTAGACGAAATGAGGGCAGTTTCTCAATACCACATGGCCAAGCGAAGAGAAAGCCATTTTTTAACTACTTAAGGGAAGATAAGAAACTTTGTTGCACTCATTCACTCCAGAAGTTAGGGAGTTTTAACTGTTAACAAAATCTTTTTCTTTCTCTTGATTTAAGGGCTTTAGCGTCTCATTGCGGAAGCAGAAGTTCAATCATTCCTCATTCACTTCTAGGACTTGGGTGAGAGAGGGGGGAATAGCATAGAAAAAATCAAGTAGAAGTGCAGTTCCTATCTCTCAGCTCAGATTAGAGCACCAGCTGTTACGCCCCCGTTACGCCGCGCTTGAACTCCTAGCCCTAAGACAGAGTAGTCTTAGTAGCAGTAGGATTACCTAATTCCCTTGCTTTATGTTTTTCTTTCTTATTTTCTTGCTTCCCTTCCTAGGTCCAATAGGCTGAAAGGGGGTGAAAGAAGGGCTTGTTTGCGCCGAATAGTTTGCACCTTCTTTTATTCAGGAAGAAAAAAAAGGGCTTGCTTGGAAGAATAGGTTTCAATCAGAAAGAATAAGCAGAGCTTCAAGAAAAGATCGACACGGGACTGAAAGCAACAAATGAATCAAAAGAAGAAGAGACATAAAGCAAAAGAATCCCCTACTTCGGAACTGAACTGCACATTATAGTAAAGATAGACACGAGCATAGGCTATTACTGTTGCTGGTAGATACCTACCCTGCTATTGAATCTAGGACTGATTGCCCATTTCCAAAACCAGAAGGAGCTGCAAGAATAGGTTTTGCAAGTGAAAGAGAATACACTGTTAGCGACGAAGGGCTTGGTTTGACAGAGGGAGCTGTTTGACATCGTGGGGGAAGCTAGCACCCTAAGTTAAGAGCCTCAAATCCTGAAAGCAGGAAGCATCCGAGCATAGAGAAGGCCCTCGCTTAGGAATGGGCAACTAGCCATTTCGCATTTGTGCATGTGGCATTTGACTCTCGTACCATGCCTCTTGCTCGTTGAGACCTCTAGAGCATCCGATCCTAGAAGAAGAGAAGTGAATCAGAAGGGGTTCTTTGTGACGAAAAGGAAAAGGACAGAGAGGAGGTTTGAAGCGTAGGGAATTCCGGAGTCAAATAGGCAAAATAAAAATCACCATTAGAGATGCTTTTAGGACCGTTCAATTAGCATATTTCTCAAGGCTGTNAGGCGTGCGTTTTCTAGGTTCTCAATGGCCAAGGGATACTTAGGAAATACCCGGCTAGGGAGGAGTTTTACATTGAATGTTTCATTATTATTAAAATCTAGAATATATAGAGCATTATGTAATCTAGCAGTTCCAAATTGAATACAATTCAAACCAAGAGACAATGAACTATTAGTTATCAAAAATTGATATCCAACATTGTCCAAAGCGGACATAGAAATTATGTTCTTTGAAATTGAAGGGACATAATAACAATTCGAGAGTTCTAATATAAGACCCGAAGGCAAAGACAAATATTAATTTTCTATGGCTAATGCAGTAACTCGCGCTCCATTTCGAACTTGTAGGTCCACCTCTTCTTAATTGAGTGATCTACTTTGCCGCAATCCCTGCACATAATTGCAATTATGAGAACCACATCCAGTGTCTATGACCCAAGATGTAACAAGAGAAAGATTTATTTCAATCATATACATACATTCAGAAGAAGATGCAAAATTCTTCTTCTTCTTACTTACTTACTAGGAAGGCCTTGTGATGTTTCCTCCAATGGCCAAGCTTGCCACAATGGAAGCAAACAACCTTTCCATCTTTGCCCATGCCTCAAGTAGGCTTAATGACATCTTGGGTTTTACGCTTAAACTTAGGATTGGCCTTGGCCTTTCCTCTGCCTTGTTTACCCTTTCCTTTCCCATGTGCAGCAGCAACTAACAACACTAGTTTGAACTTTGTCATGTCCTTCTCCATTGTCTTCAGCAATCTCAGTAGCTCTGAGAGAGTCTTCTCCATTGCATTCATATTGAAGTTCAATATAAATTGGGAGAAAGAGTCAAGCAAGGATTGCATAACAATATCCATAGAAAGTTCTACATCCATGACAAATCCCAAAATCTCAAGCCTTTGAATGTAACCAATCATCTTGATTACATGTGGGCAAACTAGGGATCCCTCAGACATTTGACATATATACAATTCCTTTGACACATCATAGCGTTCCTATCTAGAATGATTCTAAAAGAGTTCCTTGAGATTTGTGATGATAGAAGTAGCATCCAAATGCTCATGTTGCTCTTGTAGATCAAGTGTCAATGATCCCATTATTACACATTGAATAATCTCAACATCATCTAGATACTTTTGGTAAGTATCTCTTACTTCTTGAGTAGCCTCTAGTTTGGCACTTCCATAATAGGTTCATTAATGCTATACAACTTCTTTTCTTACTTTATTAGAATCCTTAGATNATTAATTAAGGTCGTTTTATGATAAGTTACCATCATGTATATGTAGAATATTTTCGTTGTCTAGTAACAAACCATTGATGTGCTTGTCAATTGTCATCGCACTAATCCACTAAACTTGTTTATTTTCTTTTAAAAAGGGTGGCATTAATCAAAAGAAGAAAAGCAAGAAAGAACCCAAGTTAAAATGTTACAACGCTACAAAAATGTGACGCATGGCTCATGGCATTTAAAATGGTGGCACTGAAAAGGTGTGTGTGTGGCTGTTGCAAAGTTGGAAAATGGTTTTGACAGAACTTGTTCCAAGTGCATATTTTTTTTTTGGTAACCGGGTGTTTGGGCCAGCTTGCACGTACTTCAACTAATCTCCATGATACATTGAACACCATGCAAACCAAAAGGATCAGATAAGTCACAATATTATTGTGGGACTTTGTAATAGGTGACCACAAGGTTTGAACACAAAAACTCAAAAGAATAGAGCAAGTCTTCTTGACTATCAGACCAACCCCTTGAGGTTTCAAATGCATAATGCCTATAACGAATTCTAGTTCATCAAGTTAAGCTCGCTGTAACGAATGTAAGTTTGTAAAGTGAAGTTATTGCTCTTGTTTTTATGATTTTAACCCTCAGTCACTATATAAGTAAAGTTTTACTTGAGGCATGTGTGGTAGTTAAAAGGATAAAATAGTATCCTTTTCCACAGGAAAAATTAACCACCCAGATTTTCTCCATTTTGAACAATATGATTTACTTTATTCCACTTGGTTAAAGGCTAGGTAATGCCAAAAATTTAACCACCCCACCATTATATAACTCCAAAACCCCTCCTATTATCCATAAAAATATGCACACAAGTGCGGAAGAGGAGACTGAGGTCATTCTGATTTCAATAGCTTTTTAAAGTGAATACATATGGTTGAATTGAAGTAATTTGGCTGAATTCTTCCACTAATGGGGATATCCATAGCAACAATTCGACTCCTCTTTATCACTATATGTCCAGAGTCTATCGATTAATACTACATATATAAATCTATTCAATCGCACATATAATAAATATCACAATTCTATTTAATAGGATTCGATATTTTAGATAAGAGTGATACTATATATACACACATCAATTTGCATGGGTGAGTCAAAAAGAATATTCTAAAGCTTTTTATATGTTGTCCATTACTTGTGTGGATTAGGCTTATGTTAAACAGTATATCGTTTCGATCATAGAGATCAATTTCTAGTCGCATAGCTTAATAATCATAATAATTCTTTAAAGCTTCCGCATAATTTCCTTGGGATTGAGTTGACATTTGTTACCGCCATCATTCGATCTAAAGAATTTTCCTTTTCGAAAACATACATGAGATTTTCATCTCACATGATTCCTTCCTAATGTACATAATGAAAATAAAACTTAGAATAAAAAGAGATTGAAATATTCTCATTATGAACTGAGTGGGGCTGATGTTTTTACAAAATATCTCTAGCCTGGAAAGTATCTTTTCTGAACATCACGCATGTTGGTACTAGTACTAGATAAAACTAAGTAGAAACTTCAACAATTTCTTTGTTCTCAATACCTGTTGATTTCCAAGAATTAATCACTTCAACAGTCTTCGATGGTTATAAAGATATCCAAAGTATGAACGAGATGGATTTATCCCAATCATTCTTCTTAGTACCGATCTGGATTGTATAAAAGGTTTTTACATTGTTATTTATGATATGAAATATTTTACACATAATTTTTATATTTTTTTTAAAATACGATTATTTAAAAACTAAAACCATTGTTGTGAGTTGTGACGAAAAGAGAAGCACTAGTTCCAATTAAATTATCTGATCACATTAAATTAATGATCAAAAATCCAAAGAGCACATTACTATTATGTTAGTTAAGTAAAGAAACAGAAAAATGTGTTAACAAATCTGACAATAACAAGAATTCACAGCTGTTTTTTTCAGTTTGGCAAAGCTCAATCAAAGAAGCATCTCAAGTTTGAAGACTTGTTTCCCATCCATGTAATATGATCAGTTGCAAAAAGATTATCTTTTTTCTATTATATATATATATTGTAAACTAAAGCTCTTACAAGCAGTGTGGTATAGCTAACAATATGTAGTAGCCCAATTGCGTACGTGTTCTGTAATTTGAAATAAAACCTGCCCTTAGATTGCTGCCGGTGGTGGGCCTCTAGGGATAAAACGTCTTATTCTTACATCTTTTCCATGGATATTGGACTGCACTATCTCTGTCTCTCCAAGAATCCTTTTAATATATTGTGGTGAAGTTACCACCACGCGAGCAAACAATTCACTCATATATATATTCTCAATACAGTCTCCTCCATATCTCCTGCATTAAATCAAACTCAAAACTCCCACTGTTAATAATCATAATAACATAACCCACATCACTACATAATAAAGCATTGAAACATGGAAATTACCTGGTGAAAAACTGTTCAAGTTCTTGATGTGTAATGGGATGTCCCTTAGAAAAAGTTACAAACAGAGTCTTATTATCAAAATTGTGACTGCCATTATTAGCTTGTTGATCTTGCCTAGGTTGGCTTTCATTAACCACCGAGTGTGAATGATTTCCATTATCTTCCAATAATTGATCAGACACCATCTGGGGCAAATAATTTGACGCATTATTATCTTGCACTCGAACAATTTCACCATTCGGGATTGCCCCATTAACAACCCCATTACCCGAACTTCTTGTTATTGGGGTTATGTCATCAAAAATCCTCTTGCACACATTCCACTTAAACTCCTTCATGTGTCTTTTTGCATGCACTTTGTATTCATAAACAACTCCAAAAGAAAGAGTCTTCCCAGCAAGACTACAAATTTGTGGAAGCAATTTCTCATCAGCAACCGAAAAAGATACTCTCTTCAAACAATCCAGGCACGCTTTAGACTCCTGTGATAATTCAAGAAGTAAGGGAGGAGGCAAGTCTAGTAAATTGTTGACAAAGTTAACGTAACCAGCACGTTCAAGCCAATTCCAGAAGGCCACAATTTTGGAGCTGATTTTAGGAGACAAACGCAGGTCGAACACTAAACGAGCATACGCTAGACGGTCAATATTGTGAAAAATTTTAAGCGCTTCTTGAAGACTGCTAACCATTCTTGCTGTTTGATTTGATTAGAAGAGTGGGAAAGAAATCAAGAGAATAGAGATAATTAGGGAGTGATTTGAATAGTATTTTAATTTTGAAGAGTAAGTGGTGGGTATTTATAGAATTAGGTCTGAGTAAAGCGAGGAATTTTGAGTCCTTGTTGGTGTTTCATTGTTTTCCGGATTGAGACTGGAATACTGTGAGAGATCAAATCTTTCCTGATTTGTATTTGCCTTTGTATTACTATTAAACACTTCTTTGTTTATTTAAATTATTTATTTAATATATAATCAATCTTTTTCCTATTTATTGATTTTATAAATTTACTCTCTTATTGGTTTGTTTTGTTGTATTTCAATTTTTTTGCCTTTTTAAAGTTACAAATTGTGTAGCACAAGTATTCATTGTAGTGGCAATGTTAGTCTCAATCTCTAACCTTGAATCACCTCAGTATCCTATATCCTATATTTATGGAATGATCATGAGCCGAAATATAAATATAATTCAATCCTTGATGTGTCTTAAACATATACTAAATATTTTTCTTATTTTTTTGTACTTGGCATTTAAAATAAGATATTTTTGTTTTTCAGTTTTTGCTAAGTTATTGGATTAACTACCCAGCTAACTTGATTGCAACAGAACTCATGGATACTGAACCTCACCAAATAATTCTCTCCAATCAAGCTTTATCCCAGAAGCATTGTCAGGTTTTATTTTCTTCTTTTGAGTTTTTGAAGCCTACAAATTGCTCAATTGTTTGATTTATGAGATTGACAGTTCCTTTTTATCTATACTTTACAGTACTTCTTGTATCAGATTCTTCGAGGACTTAAGTATATACACTCAGCTAATGTTATCCATCGCGATTTGAAGCCCAGCAATCTTTTGCTGAATGCAAATTGTGATTTGAAAATTTGTGATTTTGGTCTTGCTCGGCCAACTTCGGAGAATGAGTTTATGACAGAATATGTTGTCACAAGATGGTACAGAGCTCCCGAGCTATTGCTGAACTCTTCAGATTACACTGCCGCAATAGATGTGTAGTCTGTGGGTTGTATATTTATGGAGCTTACGAACAGAAAACCTCCGTTTTCAGGCAAAGATCATGTGCATCAGATGCGCTTGTTAACAGAGGTAACTTGAAATTCAAGCAATTGGAGCTAGTTTTTTAATCATTAAGCAAGCAGATTTAGTGATTTCTAGTTTGGAATGTCTTTATGTTAAGTCTTTTAAAATTCAAAGTTAGAATAATATAACCTACTTGTTTGTATATTTTTATTTATTCTTGGTGCACATTGATGACATAGTATTATAACCAGTACAAGAGATTTTTAGGATTCTCAGGTTGCCAACTTTATTTCACAAAGTTTTGAAGTTGGAAGCTGATAGGGAGATTGAAATTCGTAAAACCCCTTGTTAGTTTTGCTTCTAGTCTTCATATTCTGGCCTTGTACTCACTCAACTACTGAACTGAAGTTGATTCAATATTATACAACCGATGCATGATAATAACTGTGATGTAAATTCCAAAACTTTGCAATGTCTATATAGGATTAAAAGATGGACAGAAGGATAGACT